TGAGGCTTTTTCCTATCATAAGCAGGAGTATATAATTTTCTTATAATTGGCTTTTTTATCAATTTTAAAATCTATTGAAAACTTGAAACAGAATTTTTCCAAATTTCTTATTTAAAGAAAATGGTTTTATGCTAATTAAAGGGAGTGACAGGCTATGTAGGTAGTTGAGTAGTGCAGTGTTGTGGAAAACTTCTTTCGGATTCATTTGAGACATATTAAACGTTTTCATGATCTGTAAATCCTGAGTTTGAGCGCAAATTCGATGTTTAAAACTCTTACTTTGGGGGTGGATACGTTTTCAGAATTAGTTTTTTTAAATTATTAAATAACGACGACATAAAATGTAAAAAAGTTCTACAATAAACTACAGACGTCATGTATAGGAACATTTTGAGAAAATAAAAATTAATCTTATCATCGAAAATAAGTAATCTTGTTCAATTATTAGTTTATATTTTCTGATTATTCTGGTTTCTCATCATTCACGATTTTAGCATTGATTTATTGACAAATTTCTTTTGAGAAATATGTTCCTAACCATCTAATTAGATTACTGTATAATTTTTACTTTATTTTTCGTTGTCGTTATTTAATAATTAAAAAACGTATCCACCCCCAAAGTAGGAGTTTTGAATGTTGAATTTGCGCTCAAACTCAGGATTTACAGATCTTTAAAAAGTTTAATATGTCTCAAATGAATCCGAAAGAAGTTTTCCACAACGTTTCCTTTAATAACAACTAAACCAAATCTTCAATATATCTCCAATCTCATTATATTTGATTATCTAAGAAAAATATTTTTTATCGCTAGAATTGTTAAGTTGGCGCTATTTAAACTAAATTTGAAAATTCAATGAAATTAGCTAATTTTGTTCCACTCTAGTATCTAGTAGAAGTGTCTAATCTAGTACAAAATGTCTGTATTTAGTATAAAGTGTCTAGTATATAGTAGAAGTGTCTAATATCTAGTACAAAATGTCTGTATTTAGTATAAAGTATATAGTACAAAGTATCTGGTATCTAAAGTATAGTATCTAGTATCAAAAGTCTAGTGTCCAGTATCCAGTATCAAAAGTCTAGTGTCTAGTATCTAGTATTACACTTTACACCTAACCGCCCCCTCTACCCTTCACCCCTACCCTTTACACACACACACACCCTCTTGTTAATAATTCTTTTTTCCTCTATGTTAATTTCTCTTTTCTGTTTTATGTTAATATATCTGTTTTCTTTTATGTTGTGTGAATATCTATATTCTTTCTAAGCTAATATCTTTTTATTTTTAAAGTAAACATATTGTTTTGCAAAAAATCGTACAAAAAATGTCTTAAATAATTTTTGTCTTCTATAATCAAAATTGGACATTTATTGGACAATAATTGGACATTTATTGGACAATAATTGGACATTTATTGGACAATAATTGGACAATAATTGCTCGAGATTTTAAAAAATCTATTGTTCGGGAGGTAATTTTAGATTTTTTTTCGGCCAACTCCATGACTTTCATTAAACAGTTTACATTTGTATAAACTATTGGCGATGTTTGATATTTTATTGGCAAAGTCTCATATAGAGCAAAAGAAACTAGATCTCTAGTTTATGTTTAGTCATAAAATCTATTTACTTGCCTTCAGTTGAAGTTTCCATCTCATTCTTGAATTACAAGTACATTTATACCGATAACATTTCATGAGAAAATACCCAGTGTAGCAGAACCCAGGGAGATACCCTGGGTTAGCAGGCTGGTTAGGCTGATAAAACAGAGAAAAACGTGATTTGTTTAGTTCACCCGGTGTGTGGCTTACCCACGTACAATGTACATAATCAGCCAACCAAGACATCTTTGTCTTAATGTGAACACTAAACAGTACTGAACCAAGTCTGGTGTCTCGCCTTTAGTTTTTAGTGCTTTGTGACTTGTGTCTTGTGTTTTCTGTCTAGTATCAAATTTAAAATATTCATTGTCTAGTTTTTAAGGTCTCTTGTCTATGATACAGTCTTTTATTTCTATATCACCTATTATTAAGTGTCAAGTGTCTAGTATCTTGTGTGTCTAGTGTTTATTATATTGTGTGTCTAGTGTCTAGTCTATAGAGTCTAGTCTCTAGTGTCTAGTGTATAATGTCTAATGTTTAGTGTCTAGTGTCTAGTGTCCAATGTCTGATGTCTAGTGTATAATGTCTAATGTTTAGTGTCTAGTGTTTAGTGTCAAGTGTTTAGTGACTAATGTTTAGTGTCTAATATTTAGCGTCTAGTGTTTAATGTATAGTTTTTAGTGTCTAGTGTTTAGTGTCTAATGTTTAGTGTCAAGTGTTTAGTGTCTAGTGTTTAGTGTCTAATGTTTAGTGTCTATGTTTACTGTCTAGTGTTTAGTGTCTAGTGTTTAGTGTCAAGTGTTTAGTGTCAAGTGTTTAGTGTCTAGTGTTTAGTGTCTAGTGTTTAGTTTCTATGTTTACTGTCTAGTGTTTAGTGTCTAATGTTTAGTGTCTAAAGTCTTGTGTTTGGTGTCCTGTGTCTGGTGGCTGGTATATAAAGTCTAAAACCTTTTCTTATACTGTCTAGTATCTAGTAGAAGTGTCTAATCTAGTACAAAATGTCTGTATTTAGTATAAAGTGTCTAGTATATAGTAGAAGTGTCTAATATCTAGTACAAAATGTCTGTATTTAGTATAAAGTATATAGTACAAAGTATCTGGTATCTAAAGTATAGTATCTAGTATCAAAAGTCTAGTGTCCAGTATCCTGTATCAAAAGTCTAGTGTCTAGTATCTAGTATCAAAAGTCTAGTGTCTGGTATCTAGTATCAGATATCTAGTGTCTGGTATCTAGTATCAATTGTCTCGCTAGTGTCAAGTATCTAGTATCAAGTGTCTAATCTTGTATCGAGTTTCTTTCCTATGGAAAAAAACTGAAAAAATGTAAATTTTTATATTTCAAAGAATACAATAAAAAGTTCACAGCCATTTTAAATCACATTTGTATCACTAGAAAATATTTTTACGGTTTTACAAAACAATTTTTAAATTTCAAAATACCATGAAGGCTCACAACTTCACAAGAAGATATTTTATTTATGGAAATCATCTTTAAGTCCCCAAAGAGGGAAGGTCTCCAAAATACCCTTGAAAACGTCACGAAATCAGTAATTCAAACCGTAGGACGGGCCAAAAAATGCCTATTAAGGCTTAGATTAGTGTATCTGTAAAGCACTGGCTTGAAAATTAGCATATATTAGGGGGAGCAGAGCCATGGTGACAAAATCTCAGAAAAATTCCAACCGACATAGGATATATTTCATGTTGGAGGGGGGGGGGATGGAGTGGAGGAGGTGGGG